TACAATTCCATTGACTCCACTCCCCACACTATACTCCACATCCCATGACTATATATATGTTAAATTATAGTTGACATACAATACTCTTCAACGTCAGCTTCAGGTGTACAGTGCAGTGCTCAAGCCTCTACATTGTCCATGAAGTGGTCTCCCTATCAAGACATGTATCCATCTGACACCCTACAAAATATTTACAACATTATTGATTATATTCCCCAGACTGTCTTTCATATCCCCGTGGCAATACTGTAGTTACCTATTTATGCTGTCTAATCCCTTCCCCTTCTCTTTCTTCCCTACCCCCTCCCATCTAGCAACCATCAGTTTTTCCTCTGTATCTCTGAGACTATTTTTGTTAACTTTGCTCAGTTATTCAGTTCTTTAGATTGCACATATAAGTGAGATCATATGGTATTTGTCTTTCTCCAACTAACTTATTTCACTTAACATAATAGTCTCTAGGTCCATCCATATCGTCCCAAATGGTACGATTTCATTCTTCTTTATAGCAGACTAATACTTCATTGTATAAATGTACCACAGTTTCTTAATCCAGTCATCTACCAATGGGCATTTCGGTTGTTTCCAAGTCTTGGCTATTGTAAATAGCGCTGCAATGAGCATATGGGTGCATTTATTTTTTTCGAATTAGCATCTTGGGTTTCTCTGGATAGATACCCAAGAGTGGAATTGCTGGGTCATACGGTAGTTCCATTTCCAGTTTTTTGAGATACCTCCATACTGATTTCCATAATGGCTGCACCAATCTGCAGTCCTACCAACAATGCACCAGGGTTCCCTTTTCTCCACAGCCTCACCAGCATTTGTTGTTTGTTGATTTATTGATGATAGCCATTCTGACTGGAGTGAGGTGGTGTACACATTTTAAGAAAGGAAAAATCTATTAAAATTGTAATAATTTATACCGATACCAAAAGATGAACACAAGTTATGTTTGACTTTTGCGATTACAAAAGATGCTCAAAGTGGTTACCATCAGCGTCCAGACACTTCTGATTACGGCGAGCTATTGCTTGAGCAACATTGATCAAAGTGTCTACTTGTATCGCTGCACATGCTGTTAGAGATTCTTCCCGAAGTACCGCCAGTGTAGCCGGTTTTTTAAGGTACACCACATCCTGTGAGGTCCCCCATAGGTAGAAGTCAAGGGGTGTTAAGTTGGAGGTTCTGTTGCATACTCACACCTCCATTGTTGTACTTCCACAGTGTTCTCGAATTTCAAATACCACTTCAAAAACGATCTTGCGCTCCTTGAACAACAACTGCGCTTTTGCCATTTTCTTTGACTGTCCTGCCTGTCGCATGGTGACGCTAGTATTCATTTAATTAATGCCATCTTTTGAGCAAATGTCATACTACACACTGCTACCATAATTCATTCCAACTTTGAAAAGTAATACATAGATAACATCCCTTTAAATGTGTATACATTTTTTGGCCCCCCTGATATACATCGCATTTTGTGCTCACCACCCAGAGTCAGCGCTCCTTCCATCACCATGTATTTGACCCCTTTTACTTTCTTCTACCGTCCTCCCACTCCCCCTTACACTCTGGTAACCACTAAACTATTGTCTGTGTCTTTGAGTTTTTGTTTATTTGTCTTGTTCTTTTGTTGCTTTCAGTTTTATGAGTGAAGTCATATGGCTCTTGACTTTTTCTGTCTGACTTATTTTGCTTAGAATGATAATCTCAAGATCCATCTATGTTGTTGCAAATGGCAGTATTTCATCTTTTCTTATGGCCAAGCAATATTGCATTGTTTATACATGTATGCACCACATCTTCTTTATCCAGTTATATATCGAAGGACACTTTGGTTTCCATGTCTTGGTTAAATCAAAATTTGCTGTTCAGCACAAGAACATGATGCTGTTGGCCTATTCCGAAGGACATGTGATTAGTTTCTTTCTCCTTAGTAGTTCCAGGTTGATACAAAACTATTCATATGTTTTCACCTGATCCCCATTTTATTAATAGAAGTGAACTAAGGCGGCAAATTCCATTTGTACCTGGAACAGAATTTCTGTCCACAAGAAATTAATTGTCCTGCCTAGGGATCAACTTCATTTGAATTCCTGGCCTCATTAGCTCTGTAGTCAACCAACATAACTGGACTCTAAATGGAAATCGCCATCTGTCCAAATAAAAATAAAAAGGTAAAAAGAACATATATGTTTTCAAATATAATTGACTCCATTACATATTTTCTTTTTTGAAAAATCATTTGAAATATAATCCCCCTCACTTATAAGGGACTGTAAGTCTAAGAACATAGCCTTGAGTTATAATTTACAAGTATATAAGTTTGCCAGAAAAAAATGAAAATTTTATTGATATTTTGGTCTGTTCAATCCATAGGTATTATTTATAACATGATTATTTCTGGTCTACAAAATTATTAGTTTTAAATAACTTTTACAAGCTACTTAAGATGAGCTGCAAAACTTAGCTAATCTTTATAAAGTTTTTTCTCTGAATTTTTCTATAGTCAGCCATTACCTATTTACTTACTGCCAAGTGCTAAGTTAGCTACTTTACGTACTTTGCCTCACTGAATCCTTTTGGCAGCTTTGCAAGATGTGTGTTGTTAGCCCTCTTTTCGCTGATGTGCTATTTCATCTCATCTCATCTATAGGGGACAGTGCTGGGTTTCCAAGCTTGTGCTTCAAAGTCTTACTCTTAACCAGTACCCTATATGCTAAGGATAACATGAAGGCACCAAGTAGCTTAGACTTAAACGGATTCTATATTAAATTTAATTATTCTAGTCCTTATCACTAATCAAAGTGAAATAGCCTTTTAGATAATCCTATTAGCTAGGATCATCTTTTAAGACTCTGTCATACTAGCTATGACAGAATGAGCTGAATATTGCTTCTTCATGGCCAGTAGCACTACCTCCCAGGCTGAATTGCCCAGTCGTTTTTCCATTTAACATAATAACAAAAAAAATCTGAATAGCAACTAATATAATAACATTATTTTGTTTGTTTTCCCCCACATAAACTTATATACCATTTATGACGTTATTAAAAATCTTAGTTATAAGGGCCGATCGAGTGGCTCAGTTGGTTAAGAGCTGCTCAAGAGCATGAGCTCTGAGCAACAGGGTTGCCAGTTCAATTCCCGGCCCAAGCTGAGCTGCTGCTGAGCAAAAAAAAATATATATATATATATATATATATATCTTAGTTATAATTTTTAATTTAAAAATTTAGATTTTGCAAATTGTTTCAGATTAGGCTTGCCATAATCACATCTCTTAGCTGCTTAATGTGGCCCCTGAAGATAGATTCAAAACTGTTATGAACTGCACTATTATCAGCCTTTTTCAAACTTACCAGTGGTTTACGGTGATACATCAGTATGATCAAAATCAGTACCTAACAGGTGTTTGAAGAGGAGTGCTAAACTTTGTCATCACAAAGTTTAAAGCTTTTCAGTAAAATTTTACATTCCCCCCAGATCCATGTCTTTAAGCCTAGGTCCTTCCAAATAGAAGAGGGATTTTTAATAAGCATAGATATTTAGTAGAGTTAAAATTTAGGATATTAGAAAATGTGAATGTTACCGAATTTAATAGACCTTTGGATCAAACAAAGATTCATGAAAAGTAGGCCAAAATTTTCATCTTAACAACCCTAAACTTACAAGTTAAAATTTGAGGGATTTGCTCATAACCTAGATGCTACGAAAGCTAATTTAGAAAGTCATGTGAAAATTCAGTGGAAAAATGAAGAAATTCGACGCACTATTATTGTATTACAGCTACTCAAGAGAAACTGAGATTGGAAAGCTGCACAGCCAGCCCCTTTTTGGATGCCTCTTTTCCCCAGTGGATAACTGTGACTTCTAGATTAGGGGATGAGATCTTACGTTGAGCCTTTCCCCCTCTCTCCCTCATCTGTTAGATGCCACTCCTTGAGTTCCCATGGCACCTTCTGCCTAGCTCTGTCCGGCTGTGTTGTCATTGAAATATGCCTCCCCTCTACTTTAAATTCTTTGAGCACAAGGACTGTCTTTTTCATTTTTGTAACCCAGTGTGTGCACGTGTGGTGAGTGTTCGGTAAATGGCCATGATGCTGTTTGAGTTCCAAAAATCTGTGACCTCTAAAACTTTTGTTGTCTGAGAAAAGCATTTCTCGCCCCTTCAACTGTGAAGTCTTGGTTTACTTAGCACTCTATCAATGGGAAATCATTGTAGTGTAGTGTAAGGGGAACTCAGTTTTAATTCCTGACTGCTGTTCACTAGCTGTGTGACCTAGGGCAAGGTGCAGAATTAATTTTTGGCTTTGGTCTTGAATATTTTAAATGAAGTACTTGACTGGATGATTTGCATATTCTGTGCAAATCACCAGATCTACAGAGCTTTGTGGCCTGACAGCAGAGTGGTGTAGGAAAAGGCTAGGCGAACTGAAGGACAGAGCTGAGTCCCTTCCCACCAGTCACTGAGCATGCTTACTGAGTATTTGTACATCTCTACAGTGCCTTGAAGATTTATGTATGTGATGTGCTGGGGCCAAACAAATACTAGAGTAACTTGAAATCTCAAATATTATGTTCAGTATAATTTGTGTTAATTATATTTTGCTGTATTCTCACTATTTGAAATTGATTATTTATGTGTGGTATATGGGATTAGTAGGATATCATGTTAGATTAATACAGATATTCTGGTTTCTCATTGTCTTGGATAATAGAGTATTTAGAGTGTTATGGAAATTTACATCTCGAAAATATTTGAAATATAAAAATAAACTCAAAAAAGATAATTTGAAGTATGTTTTAATGTTGGTCAGTGTATTTTATTTTGCTTCAAGATAAGGATTATTATTATTATTCATGATAAAGATTATTAAATAAACGCAAAATAGTCTCAACAGCTTAAGCTTTTAACTTTTGGACGCTTTTTCTTTTCTCCATGATGAAGGATTCTGATGTTTGATGTTTGTTTTTTTGACCTTATATACTTTCAGCTCATTTAGAGGCTAGTTTTGAGGAGATAGAAAACCACCTGCTGAACCTGGAGGATTTGTGTGCACAGTGTGAATTAGAAAGATACAAACACATGCAGTCCCAACAACTGGAAAATTACAAGAAAAATAAGAGGTGAGTATGAAAAATTGGCCACATTATTCATTTGCAATCTCAAAGTTTTCCACAGTACTTTATATGCTACTCTTTATAAATTTGAACTGATAAATGTTTCAACACGTAAAGCTTATTAATAAGCCTTCCAAACAGGATATATTTTTTAGTATCTTTTGCCATTTTATGGAGATGAGTTCAGAAAAGCTAAGGATAGAGTAAAAGATTGGGAACAGAGCAACAGGCAAGGCTTTCCAAGAAAGTAGGAGCCCCAACTTCATTTTTCCCAAGTGGCAAATGCCTGACTGCTTTTTTCCTCTTTTTTCTTTTCTCCTTCTTTATTATCAGAGAAGGAGGAACAGTAACTTGAGCCCAGGCTGTGGAAAGGGCCTTGATGAGTTTGAATCTCAGCCTTATCCCATATTGGCTGTGAGATCTTAGGCAAATTATTTAATCTTTCTTAGCCTCGCTATCTCTAGCTTATAGTGAGGATAATAATGTACCCACCTCAGAGTTGTTGTGAGGATTAAATGAGATAATCGTTATCAAATGCGGTAAGTACTTTGTAAGTGTAAATTGTAATAAGGATTATTATCACTAGGCTGACCTGAACTGAAAAAGGAAGAGAGGTCTAAAGATAAACAGCCTGCTAAACTAACTGTGGCATTCCAACTTGTGTAATGACATATGGGGCAGGGTGGGAAGGTGCAAGGTGGGTCCTCCGAATTACATGGGAGGTCCACAGTAGCTGATGCGAGTGCCTGACTGTCATCTGTGCTGGGCAGACCAGGAAGTGGAGGAGGTTTGATAGATGAGAGGAAACAGAAGTCAGGGGATTGGAGTCTGGCTGAGGCTGAAGAGCAGATTTGGTGGGAGAAGGAGAGGAAAGGTTGGGCTCAGCATACTGTTAATTTTAAGATGATTGCTAGATTGAGTAGTTCTGGGTCTAGGAGTGGATCCCTGACATGGACAGGAAGTGCTGGTCACTGGCATACAGGGGGTAAAAAAGTGAAGCTAATGTGTAGGTGTCGTGAATTATCACATAGATGTTAAACTTTTCTAGAATAATGCCAAGGGGTGGGGTAAAGATGAAAACTGAGTATTCTGAAATTCTCAGTCGGGTCCATGTATCCCTAGGGATCGGTCTTAAATGTTAATGAGATGTAAGAATCACCTGGGGAGAATGTTGAAAATGCAGACTCCTGGGCTTCATCATGAGACAGTCCAATTCCAAAGTTGATTTCATTAGTATTCCTTTAGACCGGCATTCCAGGTGATTCTGATATGAGTGGTTCAGAGACAGGCAGGGTGGGGATTGGGTCATATGCAGAATCTAAATGGAAGAGTTTTAAAAAGAACTCCCAGGGAACCGTGGTAGGTAAGTATAGGAATTTTTCTGGAGGCACTGTCTATAAATTTCACTTAACCACACAATTACAGAAAGGTATGTGGCTGCATTAAGAATGGAGTTCTTATCAAAGGAAGGACTTTTGAATGCGTGGATGAGTATGGGCACCTAGGGGATTCCAGGCTGATATGTGGGGTATGGGAGATAAAGAATTTCCCTCAAGAAGAAGGTAGCAAAATTAGAGGTGGTCAGGCTAGTCTGCAATTTTAAATGAAAACATAGATGTTAATCATATAAGAAACTTTATTTATAATACAATGATAATTTCAAGAAACATTGTAGGAAGGCTTAGAATTGTGAAAGGAAATTTTTTTCAGGAAGTTGGGCATCTTAGGTACAGGAACAGTGACCCTCAAAGTTACATGGTTTCTTTATCCGTAAAATGGGGATAAAAACAGGACCTTGCTTGTACAGTTGTTTTAAGAATTCAGTTAATAAAGTGCTTAGAATAATGCTTAGCACATGGTGAGTGTTATGTCAGGTAGCCAGTGCTGGCTCACTTGTGTTATTACTTGTACAACTATGAATATAAGGTTATTCCATATTATTAATACCAGCTATGTTTTTTGGCTAGTTGAAGGCAATAATTATATGAATATTATGGTTTTTCAGTCAAGATGCATTGAAGTTTGATTATTTGAAACATGGCATCTGATACTTTAATACATAGAATTAAATTTCAGGTTTTCATAAGTTAAGATGATTAGATAGAAAAGAAAGTAAGATTTGGAACTTTGGAATTTTATTTGCCATTCTTCACCTTCACCCAATGACTTAAATGCATTTTAATTAACATATTATAATTTATATGTTAGAAAATTAAAGTTAATTTAGTGTTTGGAAAACATCATCACCTGTAATTTAAGTAAAAGCCCAAATGTGCTGAACAAGTTTCACATATATATTTTACATAATTGAAATGACAGAGTGTTTATCTCTTTAGAATTAGAGTTGTATGGTAGAAAGAGAACTGTCCTTAGAGTCAAAAGAGCCAAGTCCTGGCTTCATTGGTTACAGCTCTGTGCTCTTGGGCAAGCCATTCACGTTCCTTTCTACCTTATATTGTTATAAAGCTTTGCTTAGTTTAGGACCTTCTCAACTAGCAATTGAAAGACTTCTAAAATAATTACATCTTTTTAATAAATTTAGATGTGAAAATGGATTTATTGATAAGTGCTTGTTACTCTGAAATATGTAAGGAAAAATAATGTGCCAAATGAGGACTATCAATTTATAGTCAGTAGCTTGAAATCTATATGTAAAATAATGGTAAATATGTCATATTCTCATAGGCCATGCTTTAAAATAATTATAAAATTTAGTTTTTATAATTAGGACAGTATGAGATTAATGTAAAATATCATACAGTTTTTAAACCTGAGTTTTGGTTGAGAAATTTGAATTAATTTGTACTTTGTTTAGGATTTTTGCATCTGTATTGGTCAGAGATATTGGTCTGTAATTTTCTTTTTTGTGTGTTATCTTTACCAGGTTTTGGTATCAGGGTAATGTTGGCCTCATGAAATGAGTTAGGAAGCATTGCCTCTTCTTTAGATTTTTAGAAGTGTTTGAGAAGGACAGGTATAAAATCTTCTCTGAAAGTTTGGTCGAGTTCACTAGTGAAGCCATCTATCTAGTCCTGGAGTTTACTTTTTTGGGAGATTTTTTATAATTGTTTCAGTTTTCTTACTGTAGATCGGTCGATTTAGATTTTCCAGTTTATTGTGATTCAGTCTGGGAGGGTTATATTTTTCTAAAAACTTGTCCATTTTTTCTAAGTTACTGAATTTGGTGGCATATAGTCTTTCATAGTATTCTTATATGATCGTTTGTGTTTCTGTGGTATCCGTTGTAACTTCTCTTCCATTTCTCATTTTGTAAGAACCAGCTCTTTGTTGCATTCATTGTTTCTGTTATCTTTTTGTCCTGTTTTTCATTTGATTCTGCTCTAATTTTTATTATTTCCTTTCTTCTGCTGACTTTGAACTTGATTTGTTCTCCTTTTTCCAGTTTTTTAAGATTTAATATTAGGTTGTTTATTTGGGGTTTTTCTTGTTTCTGGAGATGGGCCTGTAGTGATATAAACTTTCCTCTGATTACTGCTTTTGCTCCATTCCAAAAGTTTTGATATGTCATGTTGTCGTTCTCATTTGTCTTTATGGATCTTTTGATCTCCCCTTTTATTTCTTCTTTGACCCAATCGTTCTTTAGTAGCATGTTGTTTAATCTTCACATATTTGAATTTACCCCCTCCCTACCTTTTGCAGTTGAGTTCCAGTTTTTTGTCTTTTTTTTAAGATTTTTTTTTTTAATTGGAGGAGGGGAACAGCGCTGGGGAATTGGGGGAAGGGGAACAGACAAGTTGCTGTCATTTTGTTCTTCAGTCTAGTTGTGGAGGACATTGCTTCACTTGCCCAAGTTGGCACCATCATTGCTCTCTTCCTGGTCGAGGCAGATCAGTCATCGGCTTCTGGCTGGCCGCTCACTGCGGCTGCTGGCTGCTCACGCCGACTGCTGGCTACGCACGGTAGCCCATGGCAACCCACTGCCACAGGGGCTGCAGCCTACGCCAGCAAAGGCGACTCTCTGCAGCCCAGCTCCAGGTTGAGCTGTTGTTCAGCATCTTAGCTGTAGAGGGCAGTGTCACTGGCCCTCATATGTGGGATCCGAACCGGGGTCCTCTGGCGTCCCAAGCCAGCTCTTAACCAATGCGCCACTTGGCTGGCCTGGGTTCCAGTTTTAAAGAATTGTGGTCAGAGAATATGCTTGGTATGATTTCAATCTTAAATTTGTTGAGGCTGGTTTTGTGTCCCAACATACGGTCTATCCTTGAGAATGTTCCATGTGCACTAGAGCCTCTTTCCTCACTGGCAGCCAGAACTCTGGCAGCTAAACTTATATTCCCTGTGCAGAATATTGGAGAGTTTACCTGAAAACCTGACCAGCCCAAAAGAAAAGACCTTCAGGTATGGGCGTTTGGGGAGTCCTCTGATGAAACAATGAAACAGAGGAGTCCGCATCTTAACGTCCTCTGTACATGATTTCTAATCAACCTTTTGGTGCTTCACTCTTAAATATGAGTGGACTGCAGAATGGTCTCCTGCAAGATGCATCATATATCTGAGGTTATTAATTATGATTTTTAAGTTTTTTTCTGCTCCCCTCATAGACTCTCATTTCTTTGTGTGTTTTAAAAATAAATATTCTATTATTAGTTTATTTTCTATTTATTTTGGTCCCTTTCATGTTGAAGATTTCCTCAATTGGATACTCTTCCTCAGCAATTTACAACTTGTTTACAGAACCAGTTTGTATGTAATACACACTAAAATTCTGTGACTAGGTATTCTATGTAACATCATTTGAGAAATTTTCAAATACTGTTATCAAAAAGTAAACTTTTTATTATCTTACCCATAAGAGTTCCTTAAAAATAAACCTCCTTCCTTTTTAACAAGATGCCTTACAAATTAAACTAATGATTTCCTTTTCTTGCTTTGAAGAAGATAACGTGTGAACAAAAAGTAGGCCGTTTGTGTGTGTGTGTGTGTGTGTGTGTGTTTGTTTACAAAGTTTGCATGCTCTGTAACTTTCCAGAAAATCTGGGGCAGACAACTGGATGGGGATGGAAAGAGTGGGGGAATGAAAGATAATTTCTCACACACCTCCTGTGCGGATAGTCTCTACAATAGGCTCCAGTGCGTTTTCTCATTTAGCTCGCATCAGTGCCCGTGGAGTGAGCAGGGCAGCAAATATTGGAGTTAAGGAGGAGATTGAGTTACATCAAATCACCTGGCTGCGTAGGGGCCAGCATCAGAGCCCAAGTCTTCAAACCCTGCAAACTTGTCTTCTTTTTTTGACTTTTGAGTTGGAACAAACAGCATCAGTCCCAGATGTTATCAATTCATATTTAGTTGAGAATGGAGATATGATATTTTGTCATATGTTTGATGGACATTCCCAGCACAGACAATAGATTCCTGCCTCCTACAAAAGGAGGGTGACCCATTCCCAACAGTAATTCTGCCTTATTATGGCAGTGATTCGCACAGTGAACAGGACAACATACAGCTTTATGTATGTTCCCAGGGAAGAGTCTGACAGCACTGTCTACCCTCGAAAAACATTTGAGTCGATGGTTTAACCCATTTCTGCATTGAAGGCCATCCTAAGTCTTCTGCATGTAAAGTGATATTGCTATTACCAGTACCTTTTGTGGACAGGAATAGACACTCCCTTGATAAACAGTAAAACATGGGGTAGGGATAGAAAATGGCTATAGGCAGAAGACAAGTACTGATGCCAGTGGCTAAGTTGTCAGTTCAGAAGATAATTTAGCCATCCAAGTCTAACTCAGGGATCCCTTGCATAGACTTTCATAAGCAATAGGAAATTTTCATCAAGTAAGCAGAGTTAATATTTAGTATATAAACCAATAAAGAACCTAAAACCATGTACATGGGTTTGTCAAGCCAGCAGTTATAAAAGTGGACTTGAGATTTGGAAGTCAGCTTACATTTTTAGTCACCGAGTGTGAGGGGAAATACGTAATAAATGTGTAATTTAAAAAGGATAGTTTCAGGTAATTATATAGGCTTTGAAGAAAAGAAAGCAGGATAATGTTATAGTGGTAAGGTCGCGGGGAGGGCTTCGTTGACGAGTGTGAGCAGGGAAGTCTCTTCTGAGAAGATGCGTGAGAACTAAGACCTGAATAAGAAGCAGCCATATAAGGATCTAGGATTATTCAGTTCCACACAGAAGGAACAATAGATAAGTTTAGAAGAATGGAGAAGTAGAGCTAAAAAGAAATGTAGAATCTCAACCTTCTAAATTTTTAATTTTTCCAGTACCACCATAATATTCCTTGGAATGTTTATTGAAATTCTCTTGCAATTATTAGTTATATTGTACTTAAAATCATACGTAAGTGTATAATTTAATGAAAATATTCATTATTTCCAAACTTCTGGATCCTTGTTTTCTCCTCCAGTATGCAGCATACTATCAGAATGTCTCTGAAAATAGTTACGTCTTGAAGAATGGTATAATTTTAGTAATTCTGCTTAATTATAAATGATAATTTTGACACAGTCTTTTATTAGACTTGAAATCAGCTTAGGGCCATATTAAACTCTAGAAACATTCTCACTGATTCATTTAGACTTTGAAACTTAATTGTTATCTCTTAGAAACTCTTGTAAGGGGGGGGTCAGTGTTTCTATTGATGAGGTTTAGTTCTTATGCATATTTTGAGAAAGTCATTATTCCTTTTGTTTTCTGTATTATAGCTAATGCTACAAAACCATGCTCCTTTGTTTTGTTTGTGTTTGTTTTATATTTTTGGTAACGTGGACTATAGATTAAGTTTAGAAATCCTTTTAAAGCAAAGCATAACAGATTTATTTGAGATGTTCTGGCATATCTTTAGTTGTATTTGACCAGTTTGTGTTCTATAGAATACCCTGCCAAACTCCTGAGCTTCAAGAAATAACTGTCTAAACCAATGTAGATAGGCAGTGGGCCATAGGTCTGACTTGCACTTCCATTTTAAAAGTTGGAGGTGGTGCTGCTGGAGAGGCTTGGCAGGAGTATGGCACATAGGCCTGGCTTTGCTGAGAATGGAACAGAAGAAACACATGGCATTCTCCAGAGTAAAGATGGTTCTGGATCCAAAAGAGAATGTCCAAAGCACCTCATCCAAAGGAACTAGACAGAAAGGCAATAACTAACTACTCTGAGGTTCTGCAATGGAGGTCTGTTTGAATGCTGAATGCAAAGTGGATCGGGAGAACTTTCCCACAGGCGATTTTACAAAAAGGAGTGGATTTCTGCATCTGCCAAAGATAGAGTAACACGGACCAGATTTACTCTCCCACCTGTTACAACCAAATACCAGAAGAAATACATGAAATAACAAATTTTAAGACCCTGGACATCTGGCAAAGAAGAAAAGTGAGCTTTAATGGGCAAGAAACAAGTGAGGCGAGCCCCTATGATTGCTCCAGTATTCTGCCTGATAAAGTTTCCTGGCTACAGTGTAGGAAGGGGTTGGGGGAGACATAGGAAGGTCCTGGCATCCTGAGTTGAAGAGACGGAGCAGAGAGTCTGGGAAGACCAAGGCAGTTAGAGTCTACAGGACAGTGCTAGAGAGGAGAGAGCTACATAGAGAGAAAGAATCCTGGAAATCTGCAGAGGATTTCCCTTGAATATTCATCAGAGTACTGATAATGTGTATGAGGAAACTACCTGAGGCAGGATGAAAAAAAAAAAAAACATCTAAGAGAATTAGTTAACAGTGCATGGTGCCTACAAAGTGCCTGTTCCCAACAGCCACACTGGAAAAACATACATAATTCAAGGGCATTGGGAAGAGCACTCAAGAAGATCTTCCCTCAAGGGGTATAATGGGCCCTGCTCCGAACCTGCTTAACAAATCATAAAAGCAAACATCAAAAGGATCAAATTGTTTCCAATAAATTAACAGTATCCCAAAACGATGCTCAATAATACTTGTAGGATTACAAAAATATCCAGCACCCAACAAGGTAAATCACATTGTCGGGCATCAAATCAAAGATTACTAGGCAAACATATTGAAGAGATAAGCAATCAATCAAAGCCAATTGAGAACGGACATAGATGTTAGAATTAGCAGACAAGGACATTCAAACCAATTATAGTAACTATTCTATAAGTTCAAAAAATTAGAGACATAGAAGATATTTTTTAAAAAGCATACTTTTGTCTCTCTTCTCCATTTTCTCCTTTTACTGCTTCCACCATTAGATGCTAGACTTTAGATGGTTTGAGGTGGTTAATTGATAGTAAACTATTATATGTATCACAATATAGTAATCACAGTTGCAAGGCCAGTGACCTCTTAGTAAGAGAATATGAATTTGTTGGTTTCATGGATGTGTTATCACATCTTACATTTTCTTATAAAGTGAAACCTAAGCTTATGAGCTGGCAAGGAATCAAACTTAACAAAATTCTTGTTATAAAATATTTGTTGGAGAATAAATCTTGACAGTTTCAGACTTTATGTGTAGTCATAAGAACAGATGTAGCTAGAATATTTAACAGGTTATTAGATCCTTGGGTGGACAGTAAATACAGGTTGAGGACTGATATTTAAGTTCCTCAAGCTTTATTTTGAACAATGAGTATCCGTTTGCCATCAATATTAACAACTCATGTCCTGACTTCATGCTTCAAAATTAACATTTCTCTTGTAATTGCACACCCGGAAATCCACACCGGGCTCAGCTAATCGGGCGGGCTGGGAGTGGACTTTCCTGCTGGTCCCGCCTCCGGCGCTGAGCAATTTAGAGCCGCGCGCTCCGCGCTGGAATGTAAGATGGCAGAGTAGCAACGCGAAGCGGTTAACGCTGAGTCTCTGGGTAGACCTCGGTTCGGGTCTCGGCGGACCTCGGTTTGGGTCTCGGCGGCGGCGGCAGTGATTGTGATCGCTGAGCAAAGAGTGCCTACGGTAGTTGGCCAAGATGCCGAATATCAAAATCTTCAGCGGCAGCTCCCATCAGGACTTGTCCCAGAAAATCGCTGACCACCTGGGCCTGGAGCTAGGCAAGGTGGTGGCTAAGAAATTCAGCAACCAGGAGACCTGCGTGGAAATTGGCGAAAGTGTACGTGGAGAGGATGTCTACATCGTTCAGAGTGGCTGTGGCAAAATTAACGACAGTCTAATGGAGCTTCTGATCATGATCAATGCCTGCAAGATCGCTTCAGCCAGCCAGGTTACTGCCGTCATCCCATGCTTCCCTTATTCCCGGCAGGATAAGAAGGATAAGAGCCGTGCTCCCATCTCAGCCAAGCTTGTTGCAAATATGCTGTCTGTAGCAGGCGCGGATCATATCATCACCATGGACCTGCATGCTTCTCAAATTCAGGGCTTTTTTGATATCCCTGTGGACAATTTGTACGCAGAGCCAGCTGTCCTGAAGTGGATAAAGGAGAACATTTCTGAGTGGAAAAACTGCACTATTGTCTCTCCCGATGCTGGGGGAGCTAAGAGAGTGACCTCCATTGCAGACCGGTTGAATGTGGACTTTGCCTTGATTCACAAAGAACGGAAGAAGGCCAATGAGGTGGACCGCATGGTGCTGGTGGGAGACGTGAAGGATCGGGTGGCCATCCTGGTGGATGACATGGCTGACACTTGTGGCACAATCTGCCATGCAGCTGGCAAACTTCTCTCAGCTGGAGCCACCAGAGTTTATGCCATCTTGACTCACGGAATCTTTTCTGGCCCAGCCATTTCTCGCATCGACAATGCATGCTTTGAAGCAGTAGTAGTCACCAACACCATACCTCAGGAGGATAACATGAAGCTTTGCTCCAAAATACAGGTGATCGACATCTCCATGATCCTTGCAGAAGCCATCAGGAGAACGCACTATGGGGAATCTGTTTCCTATCTCTTCAGCCATGTGCCTTTATAAAAGAATAACTTCTGAGGAAAAATAAACTGAACCCAGCGCCTTGTTTCCCTTGGTATTTGATGAAAAATACAGCAGAAGACCCAGCTTGCTCCAGTAGCTTTCTACATCCCATGTCAGGTATATTAGCATTTCTCCAAAATTAAGAAACTGCCTGCATTGCCTACCTGCATTTTCTCATTCTAGTTTCTTTGGTTTTGTGAACCTTGCAGCTTTAACTATAGCTCTGATGCTGCAAGGTTTCATACTTTGAAGTGTGTTGTGTGGTGGGGGTGTTTGAATGTGATTGGGGAAACCCAAGCTACTTTGTATGTGAATGCTTCAGGGTTTCCTTGGTTCAGGACTATTGGCACCAAAGCTAACTCAATTCCCGTGTGTCCCGCCCCCACCCCCAAATAACATGTGACAAGTTCTCTAAGGTCTGTGCTAAATTAGAAGAGCCCTGGGGAAGCCCAGAACCCAGCTCTGGTTGTTGAGTTCCCGTGAGGCGGGAAGCTCTCAGTGTAACAGTGAAATGCTGGCTCAGTGCTCTGCTCTCCCTCCCGCGCTTCCCCCTACCCTTTCTGACTCAAGCTAAATGGCTCCTGCTATAGAATTCTGCTTGAGGCTTGAATATTTTTCAAAACAGCCGCTTGTCAAAGTCTCTTGAAGAAGTGGGGAAATATGTACAAAACTGACTGTTTATCAAAGATTTACAGAAACCTCAAGATGGACTCATAAGCTGGGAGTCAACGAACCAACCCAGAACAAAGAAATTTGGAGATGTCACATTGTTCCTTGGATCCCTGTCTGCGCCTGACGGTCTAGAGTTCTCACCCACCTTTTGTCCTGCCCCTCCTCCCTTTCCTTGACAAAAAGATGATTGAACTATTGATAGATGCATTTTTAAAATGGATTTGCTGATGTGTTAAAGCCCCCCAACTTCTCAGCTGGCACCTTCTTGATCAATAAACCTTTGCCTACTCCAAGCTCTGATCTATTGAATATTGGCTTTTTGAAGCGTCGGGCACACAAACCTTGAATTGGTTACATTGGGTGGGGGCCTGAGGGAAGGTAGCAGAGTGCAGCGGATGCTTTTGGGGAGGAAACAGCCTGGTCAATCACCCTCTGCTTGGGGACTGATATTTAGTCTCTTGTACTGTTCCTTTTCCATTTGGCCTAACTTTCAACCATCTTGACATTTTCCTAACCAAATGCCTTCTTGGGCCCAAATAAGCATTGTACCGTAGTCTTATGGAAAGCTAACCTCACTTCTTGTGTATTCGCTAACATTTACATGAGATTATTTTGCTGTAGCTTTATTTTCCTTAGCCCACTACTGTGGTAAAAGGTTCTAAGTGGTGGTGTAGAACCTTTTGATTAAGTATTTCATTTTCATCTCCCTTCCTTGATGTGTTTTGTCTCTCAAATGACCTGAGATTTCTGTTAAAAAAATTAATGTTACTAGCTCTTGCAGAGGAAACTAATACAAGTGTCTGTGTGATCGTGGGTCTATATCATATCTGTACTGCTCCCTCTGCCAAAGGTTTGGTTAGGTGGTCATGCTGCCCTTGTAGCTCTTATTCTCCGTTACCAAACTGTTAGCTGCATTGTTAAGCCAAAAGACATTGGCAGCAGTTTTATTCAACTGTAAGACCTTAAGATGTCTGTACTTAGAATTACATATATGTAGTGTAATTCTGTGCATCGTACCTGAATTATAGAATGTATAACGCCTGCTGGATCTCTGGTTCTGATTCCTGGGGATAGGAATTAGGTATTTTCTTATTGAAAAAAAATAGTAGTCATTTTTTAATTTATTCATCTTGAACCAATTTTGCCAAGTATGGTAACATTTTTCTACATCAGTAGTTGACACACGTTTTGTATTTAATTTAAGCTCATCTAAGTAAAAACTATTTGGGGAAGGTAAAAAATAAAAATAAATACATAAATAATGTTTCTCTAATAGGTTTACAGTACTCTTTTCCTGAACTTTTCCTCCCAGTTATATAAATGCCATTCTGTATATTGGGGTTCATAAAAATTTTTGTTTTTAACAGAGACAATAAAAACCTTAAGTATATATTTGAAATTGAGAGTTGTCAAGACTAAAGATACAGCACTCTTGAGAAAGGTTTATTGAAATTCAGCAAAACATAATTATGATTATTCTGGGTTAAAAAAAAGAAGTTGATCTATTTTTCTGAAGATAGATTGGTTACAGCTTGGGCCTTAGAATTTTGGGGGTCTGTAATAACTTTCTGTGTTTTAGACTTAATTTATTAAATTTGGAATAGTATTTTATGTCTTACGTGACCCAGTACCATTTTGGAGTTTGTTTTCTCATTGGTTACTATTTTTTCAGATATGCTTTCAGAAGTTTGGAATTAGTTGTTAGTCTTTAGGTGAGCATAATTAAAACTGTGGTATGACCTTTTGCTTGTCTCATTTTTTTTTTCATATTCTTAAAGGATTCTAGAGACGGGACAGGCAGAAACGTACTTAGCAGCCTGCCCCTACCTGCCCTGACAGTGGCAGGGAAAAATTGTGGCAAAGACACCAGCAAGAAAATAAGGTGCTCCTCCTCTCTGTGCCAGCCGTTCCTCTCACCCTCAGGCTGGGCTCGAGCACGGTTACTTATATTGACCCATTTTCACTGTAGCTAATAAACAGTCTTTTTTCTTGCCTGCCTTCTGCTATTTCTAGTCTTTAGTTCTGGTTCAGAAAATCGGCACTTAATTGTTTCAAAGGGCATGCACTCCTGTGCTACTGGAGAGGTTTGATACTGGATTTCACACAGGGATGTTTTGCCCATAGTGAGCAACATTTTCCTTTCTCTGGAGTTTCATGTCATGTTTTCTGACCGATACCTATCCATATACTAATATCAAAGAAGTGCATTATTGTCTTATAAAATAACATTACTTCTTTGAGGAAGAGACAATAGAAGTTGATATATAGCTCTCCAAGATTAATTTTGTTAGATGAGAATTGATCAGTTTATATCAATATTCAGTGCTCTCACCATGGATTTTAAAAAGTTGAAAAGTATCCTTTAAAATTAAAGTTATAAAATAAACATTGAACTGACTCAAGGAAAGTTAGAACACTTTTACTTCATAACTGAACTTTTTTTTTTTCTGAAGATTTTATTGGGGAATTGGGACAGGGGAACAGAGTTGGGGAATCGGGGAAGGGGAACACACAAGTTGCTGTCCTTTTGTTCTTCAGTCTAGTTGTGGAGGACGTCACTTCACTGGCCCATGTTGGTATTATCATTGCGCTCTTCCCAGGTGAGGCAGTCGCTCGCCGGCCATTGGACAGCCGCTCTCGGCAGCTCACGCTGTCTGCCGGCACTCACGCTGGCTGCCGACCACTCATGGCAGCTTACGGCAGCCCACTGCAGTCCCACTGCAACCTACACGATCGCCGGCAACTCATGGCAGCCTAGCTCAAGGTCCAGCTATTGTTCACCATCTTAGCTGTAGAGGGCAGTGTCACTGGCCCTCGTGACAAGCTGGGGCCCTGCTGCTCAGAGCTGGCATCCCAAGCCAACTCTTAACCAACACGCCACTCGGCTGGCCCCCATAATTGAACTTTTAAAAATATTTATTAATTGAAATGAACAGACAAGGTGCATGGTGCACTAAAAAATTATTAATAGAAAATAAAGATTGTATAAAGGTGGTATGATATGAAGACGTTGATAGAGACCAAATCTATGATATACTTTAAATATTTAATCTATATTTTTTTCTTAGCTTTTAGGTAGCTGAGTCCATTGACAAATCAGTCCTTATTTACCTGACCTTGAAACTGTCCATTCTTGACTTCTATAACTGGTATCTTAAATTTTCGTTTCTACCTTAACTTACATTTTAGTTTCCATTGCAGATGCTTTGATATTGGTATTCTCTTGGCTTCTGTTGTAGGTTATTGCCTCTCCCCATTCTACAAGCTCTGCCATATCCTTGGCTCATCTACCCCCCAGATGGTGATCATTATCAAATCACTGTCTTCAGTTTGGGTCTCCCTCTTTACCTTTAGAACCAGCTGCCACTTGGACATCTCTACTTGCACATACCAACAGACATCTCAAAAGCAGCAGGCCCCATATTATCTTCCACAGCAAAACTTGACCTTTTCTTGTCTCAGTAAAGCATCACCATTTATAGATTTGCCCAGTCCACAAACATGGGAATCATTGTCATCTCATTTTCCCTCTCCTACCATCTCCACTCAGTTCCCAGGCCAGTCCAATATCCCTTGAGTCTGTTCTTGCCTTTCTGTCTTCACTGGTCGTTTTGTAAGTTCAAACCCACATCTTTGTAGCCTCAATTATAGTGATAGCCTCCTAATTAGTTGTCTTCTTTACAATCTTGTCCCTCAGACCATTTATATTACTGTTAGAGTGTTCATTTTTTTTTCTAAAATGCAGATATGATTAAGACCTCATCATCAAGATAAAATTTAAGTTATGATGATGATAATTAGATAACAGTAGCACTTACTGAACACTTACTATATACCAGGCACTATACTTAAAAACCTTAGTCTAAGTTAACTCATAGAATTCTCATAATGGCCATTTGTATCAATGTACTCTCCTTTTTACCAACAAGAAAAATGAGACTAGAAGAAATTAAATAATTTACCACGAGTTGCAGAGCCAAGAAGTGGTAGAGCCACACCAGACCAATGTTCTCACTTAAAGGTCTGTTCATACCTTTCATATTCTGTTGTCTCCACACAAAGCTACGCTTACTCTGGGTTTGGATACTCTGGACTATGAAAAGGACCTTGCTTTTCTTGGCGCATTGACCACTTCAGTACTTGTGACTGCTAATTGTAAAAATGGGCAAGCAGAGTTTTTCAGTAGTGGTGCCACTGGATCAGGAATACATTTGGATGTGGGATGCCTGATTTTTTTCCCTTTAATCCACTGTCCACCCTGTCTACCACAAACTCACCGTGCCTGTAAGGAGATACAATCAGGTGGTATGGCATGACTGGAATGCTGAGAAACAATAGACTGCTGCCTTGGTAATAAGAGTGATGGGGGTGGCCGGATGGTTCAGTTGGTTATAGAGTGGGTGCTCTTAACAACAAGGTTGCCAGTTCGACTCCCGCATGGGATGGTGGTCTGTGCCACCCCTCCCTCCCCCCTGCAACTAGATTGAAAGCATCGACTGGACTTGGAGCTGATGGGTCCTGGAAAAAACACATTGTTTCCCAATAAAGTTAAAAAAAAAAAAAAAAGACCACGTACCGCTCAGTATAAGTCTGCTGTTTCCAAGCATTACAGTCATGGAAATGTGTACTTACAGGCTTGAAGGGTTTGTGGTTAATATGGTAGAAGGTGCCTCGGGGTAGAGAGTTGGCTTTCCAGCTTGAGGTAAATTTTCTCAAAACTGGCTACATCTTAAATGTGTCTGTTATTTCTTACACAGATCCTGCCTGGGGAATGTGTTACAGAACAAGACATTTTTAACACACTATCTGTAAAACCTCTTGGAAATCAGCTAGTTCATCATAAAAACTGTACTAAGTCTTTATTTATCATGCTATTAATATAATACAGTTAATACAGTTTTATATATTTATCTACTTGGGCAAGCATAGCCTAGAAAGTAGTAAGATGATAGGATCCAAGACTCTTGGCATTTAGGTTGAAAATAATCTGAGTGATAGTGTAACAAAGAAGATTTGGAATTTAAAAAATGGACCCTGGAAGAGATAATGAAGTTTTAGGAAATGGGCTAGTTGGTGGCAGCACTAACTTATGTATTGAGGATTAAATTCCCTCAAACTTGCAAGAAGATTACTTTCTAGACCTGTTTTCTATGAAAATCTATTTGATTTGGAGGGGGGAAAAAGTACAATAAAGAAAGATGAGAGAGGGGTAAGCAATATTTATTAGTTCTTACTGAATCCTACATATAACACAAGGCACCTTACAAACACTAT